ATTCAACCTTCATCGCGTCTCCATTCTCCTCATTATTCCCAACCAAAATGTCCTAAAGCCAGGGCTTTCTGATATCGGTTTAAGGAAATGTAGCCATAGAAATCTTAAGAGTTCCTTCCATGCTTCTTGTTTTCCTTTCTCTTCTCGAGTGCTCCAGCATATTTTCGTGTAAATCGTCGATCATAGTAAATATCACATTATAAAACGAGTTAATACAGTTTTGGTGTGAACAAAAGTGTAGAAAAATAAGTCGCTAGTGGATGAAACCAATTGTATAAGTTTTATTCAATTGCAATAGCCGACTATTGAAATTAATAACCACAAGGCAAACGATTTCAATTTATTAAAAAAAAATTCCATTTCAGAATTTTCTAACGGTTGAAAAAAATATTTAGCAACACAAAATTAGAAATATAAGTTAATTGCAGGCTAAAACTGTAAACAATGAATCTGGAAGCTGCACACTATAGAACTACAAACTGCATGAATTAAATAGTAATGCGAAAATAATCTGTAGAAAGAAACCACAAACTGCAGCAGATTTCAAACCGAGGCCTGTGCGTGTACAGTTTCCTTAACACAGTTTCGCCCCCTCACCGTAGGTGCTGGAGGCTCAGTTCGAGCGGCTGTCTCCCAGGATACAACGGCAATAAGCATAATCCGAGCACCGCGGTCCTACTCCGGCGAACTGATCTAGTATCTGAACAATATCACCACAAGAACAAGGCGTTACTGGACAAGGAATGCAGAAAAGAAAAAACTTTGTATGCAGGAATGTAGGTGAGATTTGTGTTAGATTACTGGAGAATGAGCATTTTTATAGGCATACTGCCCATTAATATTGTGACCATTGGAGTTACTTCCCATTAACATTGTGACCATTGGAAGTCCATTGGAGTTTTTTCAATTTAGAAACTCAAAAGTCATTGAAGAAGCAATATGTGGGCTCACCGATTGGGCCATTTTTGCCTAGTTCGGTTCAAACATTAATGTGCGCAGGTCGCGCCCGCACCCAAGTTCAAGGTCCGAAGGCCATTTCGGTTCGTGATTTGCACCCCCCTGCACGCGCACGTGGAGAGAGCCTCTATACTACATATGATTACACATCTCCAAAACATAACCATATATAAAGTGGTTTAAGTTTTCTTGGTTTTCCTATGTGGGATAAATGCATTTTTTCCCACAAAACCAACTTCCAATGACCAACTTTGAACTTCAATTTCTCATTCATTCGAGCTTTATTTTTGGCAAATAAATACATGAAATCGATGTTCTTGCAGAGGAGAACACACATCGACTTTGATATTCCACATTGGACTAACGGGTCCCATCGAAAATTGTGCCAAAAATGAGCCGCTCACTCAATTTTTTCCAACAAAGAGTTCCTTGGCTTGTGTGAAGCTTTTCTGTAGAGACATGACAGCGTGGTTTCTTACTTCTTCTCTCCGGGATAAGTTTGTCCTTTTAAAGATTCTCCTAACCTTTGAAAAAATATATTGAGATTATGACTTCTTGAATATTGTTCTGCAAAAGGCTACTTGTGTTGCTTCTAAAACTTGTATTACTTCCAGGATTTGAATGTCCACTTCAATGCCATTGAACGAGCAATTTTGCAGAATTTTCCATCAAATTCATTACTTTCATATTCTTTTCGATTGGGCTATTTCTGAGTGCTACAAAACCAAATGCACAGTCAATGCAGTAGGAATAGTTTCTCGGTGAAATGTGTGTTTCATCAAACATGAATTTGATTACGGCCTCAGTCCATTATCCATCCGGGTTACAATGGCCTTCACAGCGAGCGAAATAGGCGAAAATAGAGGAAACTGTGTGACCTCCAGCAAGTAATCAAGATAACGTGGCCAAAATGTTGAAAATTTATGAGTATTGGCTGAGGCAATGGCACAGATTAGATCCCAATTGTTTCTTCCTCCTCAATTGGAGTCCTGAATTTTTGGCCTTCACCTGCAGCAGAAAATATAAGAAAGCACTCGAGATTAAGCAATGAATCATCGGGTAAACCGACACTAGTGTTCAAAATGTTCCCAATAAAATGCTGTTGAATGATCCTAAGATTCTTTTCAAACTCACTAACACCACTATCTAGAGAATCTTTTACACTCTTCAGTAACAGGAACTGGCCCATTATGCCAGAATTCAAGTGTCTGCCTCCGAATTTAGGATCATGACTGAGAGTAGAAACCTGGTCCCGATCTTTCATAAGCTAGGAAGATAGAATCTGAATCTAAAGCATTATCACATTCAGTAATGTAGCAGAATTGATCTTTGATTGGTGAAATTTGAGCTTGGTTTATCAATCCAACCGAGATCGACCACATCAATTAACGACCCAAGAACCATAACTATTTGCCCACACTTCGGTTGCTACGGATGCACCCACAAAGGACACAAAGTTTCAATGTTATTACAGCTACAAAAGCACCCACTCATGCTGTCAGAAAGGCAAACGAAAGAAGAAAACTCAATGAAAGAGATAGTGGAAGGAGCAGCCGGTTTCTCTCTTTTTGAGGTTGGGAATAACACGCGTTAACAACCACAAAATGAAGCAGCAAATATATAGGGTTTATTAGGTATAGAAGAAAAAATGCCAAGCTCAAATCAATACATGGGCCAACACTTATAAGCTGTCCAAGAAGCAGAAAAACGGGCCACGAATAATTCAGATTTAGACTACTTCCAATGGCCCAAATAGTTCTAGTTTCCCATTAAGGTGTCAATATTTCAATTCAGTCATTTGATCCATGCCAAGTGAATAATTTAGATTTAACATCATGACCTAAGATTTATTGGGTATCAATAAGTAGAGTCAATGATGGTTCTTTAACCTCCTTAGATGGAATTCTTGAATGTATTTGTAATTGTGAAAAATGGGAAAGCAGCCATTTTTGGTATCATTGCCGAAAGCATATAAAATTTCTTCTGCAGATGCACAAGGCTTTAGCAACGTCATTAATTTGCAAAATGAGGGAAGAAGTTGATCAGATAATTTAATGCATTCAACTCATAGCAAAATCAACACATGGAAAAATTAAAAACTACGAATCTTAATAAGAGAATGTAAATTATTCCAATTTGTTACATTATTCGCCATAACAATAAATTTAACTATTCATAATGCAAGAAGAAATATAGTAAATTATCGTAGAATACATTACCAGATTTGTAATAAAGATGTAGAAGAAAAAATAAAATTCTTGCAGCAAGATCTCATTCTCTTTCCAATCAATACTTCAAATATTCAATTGCTTGATATTATTCTCCTTGAGTTTCTGTTTTAAATCTCCCTTTTTGTTGTCTTGCCTCCCAATGTGTGTAGCACCTCTCAAAAGTATGAGAAATATGTATTTATAGGTGTCTCTTCCGTTTGTGTAGAGAGTAGGGTTTTTTATGGACTTCAAAACAGCCCAAAAACGCGCCCTAGATGACCCCCGGTGCAGCGCCTAAGCATCGCGTCAATTTAAGCGCAAAGCCTAAGCGCTACGTCTGCAACGTGTCTGTAGCGCTTAGATGCTATGATTGCAGCGCCTAGGCGCTATCTTTCGAGTTCAAATTTCATTTTTTTTTTTAAGTTTCGTAGCGCATGCAGCACCTAAGCGCTACTTTCTGCCCCAATTTCCTTATTTTTGATCTCTTCGTCCGCTTTAGTTTCTCTTTTTGCATCGTCTTTCCTAATCTTCAAAACAATACTAACAAACAAATCAAAAACGTTCTATACTCATAAGATCTAGCAAATAATCAAGCTAAAATTGTACAAAATTTAGGAGCGAAACAAACTCATCAGAGATTCTTACAGATTTTAAGAATTGTATTACTGAAAAAATTATACATCGGTAGTTTGATAAAATTGGGAACTCATTTCAGGGCCAAGACAAGTTATAGGTAGAACAACTCCTACATCTTTGTTTAACATGCAGGACACGACAAACCTATCTCTTTTGCAACTTGTGTAATATCCGTTTATAAATATTATGTATCAAAAATCCCTTCTATATGTATACATACATCTATACATGCACACATTAACAGCATTATATTAATTGACTTCCTTTAATTAATTATCAATTTGTCCGTTTCATGCTACCAGAAGAAAAGTAGAGAAAGATCAGACAAATTACCAGAATGTTTACTAAAGAAGAAGATTGATTTTTTTTTTTTTTTTGGAAAATTTGTTTATGAATTGAATGTCTTTTAAGCTTAATAACTAATCTGATTCGAAGCCAAAAATACTAGCTTTTTTTTTTTTTTTTTTTTTTAACTTGTAAGCTGGTGATCTTAATTTTGCATATTTTAATAATTGTCTAAGTGTTTCAGCTCGGCCTTTTAACCCACGAGCTAGGTTGGAGCTCGTGGCTGGTGAAAATCGAGCCGAGCACGAGCCCGAGCCAAGCTCATGGGTGGTGGAAAAACAAGCCGAGCATGGCTCATTGCTCGGGGGTGAGCTCGGCTAAGCTCACGAGCCGACCCCGAGCCGCTCACGAGCTCGTGATTTTTTTCAATTTTTTTAATTTTAATTAATTTTTTTTTTTTTTTTTATGAATTTGCACATTTTTTACGAGCTCATGGGCTTGTGAACTTTGGCTCATGGGCCATGAGTGATGAGCCCGAGCTGTCCACGAACTGAATGATCGAGTCGACGAGCCGCTAAATCATATGAAGCAATCGATCATGTTCAAGAATCTAAAGTTGGGCCTATAGTTTAGAGATGACGAAATTTCCCGTCCCGGCTCGAGGAAGGAATTTCCCAGTTAGTTTGGAAATTGGGGCGGGGACAAGAACATGATCCCTACTATGAACTAGCATCCACTCTTTTTATATAAAAAATTACATCATGTTTACTGAAGTTTGAATTTACTTTTCAAATATTTTTAGATTCTCAAAAGCAATAATATTGGAAGTCAAAATATTTTGTGCCTACATTATCTTTTTATATTCACACACACACACACACACAGAGGGAGCCTTGGATCAAAAGTCATCAATACTGGCAATGAGTTAAATTGGCTCATCAGACTTTTTATTTATGACAGAATAAGAGTAGTTTAAGGATCATGATAAAACATCGTGAATATTTACAAATGACTTCATTGTCGACAAGTCATTTCAAGATCCAAAGTTTTCTCATACCATTTCCATAAGAACATTAGATATGTAAACTTTCTGCACAACTTCATATCAGACGACGGCGTTATTGTTGTAGTAAGTGAACCACGCAAATAATAGTCCTTATTGAGTATGACTTGTGAAGGACGAGGCTTCACCGGGGTTCAAACCCACGAAATTCCTCCAAAAGCATCGATTCTTGCGCTTGTCATGGCGAGACATGATTTCTGTTTCTGTTCTCAACATATTCCACATTATCTGCACATCCTCGTACCCACAAGTTTGGATGTCATCGCGGAGTTTCAGAAGCCCGCCACCTAAAAACAAAAAAGGCACCCACGTTTTTTTCTCATATAAGAATCTGAAATAAAGCAAAGTGAACAAGAATATAGCAAAATAAAGCAAGATTCTATGCTTAGAGCATTCACTATTCTACAATACTGTAGCAATTGATGCTAAGACGATAGAACTGTCCAATGAAAGGCCAAAATCGATCATCATCGGTTACCCCGAAAAAAAAAATATGGATATATAAGAATTATCTTTAGACCTTAGTTTTCATGACTGACTCATCAAGGTATTGGATTCCTTTAATATGAGCAGTAGAACTTTTATGTTATAACTTTATTCCAAGTTTGTTCGACAATAATTCACAGCGATACATAGAGTAAATTGGGATGTAAACATATGAGAGTAGCCTATGTGCATACTATATAGGTTTCGCTTCAAAATATTTCAGTACCAATCCAATATTCAAAGAAGCCAGAATTCTTAGATCTAACCCTCCACCCTTACTCCCACCCCAACATGCACATCAACACATGTAGTAACAAAGAATAATCCAAAAATATTGATCGCAATACTAAGAGCGTTTTTGACACACTAACTAGTGAGTACGACTTGACAGTACATATTACCAAACAAATCAATGGTCCATAGCATGTAGATTTCGAATTCAAATTATTTCAATATAAATCCAATATTCCAACCCAACCCAACCCAACCCCACCCCACACACAAAATAACAAAGAATAGTCCAACAAACAAGTTATTAATTATGGTCCATTAAATTTGCACACAGTGGGACATTATTTTGGTAGTTAGCAGCTTGGTATAGTACAAAATTGGGTCTTAACACAATTTAATGTCTTTAAGTGGAACTGATCTAGTGGATGTAAGCATCCATTAGTGGATTTTCATATGTGTTCACTATTATAATAAGCCCCCAAATAATTAAAAATAGTACAAAGCCATCATTATTAAAAACTAAGAAATATTAGTACTCGAAATTGTGTGCATTATAAGAGCATATTCTATTCAAAAGTTTTGAAAATCAATAATCAGATTATGATGCTAATATAGAAATCCAAACACACTCTAGACAGTGTATGTTGCTATCATTAGAATTTTAGCTATTTTTATTTGGTGCATATAAATCCAATTGGTGTGACGTAATCTCGTCATGTAAACAATCATTCAAAAAATCAATATATAATTAGCTACACGGCGTCTTAACTTTTTTCACGACCAGATAAAAGGGACCCATTTAAGTCGGGTAAACAATGGATACAGATCCCTCAAAGGCTACCAACCACCTCATCACTAAAAAAAAGTGTCGAGCTCGCAACCAATCCTAGTTGTGGGGTCCATCCCTGGCTCCTTCGTGTCATGTCAGACCTTGACTACACATCAATCTTTGGCCTTAGTCGACTAAGTTATCTTATAGTCAAATACTATATACCAGAATATCAAGGTAAGCCACACCAAAGACCACAGTCTAAATTTTGCAAAGGTAACTGAAATCTCAATATTTAATCCAAAAGTCTATCCAATCGTTTTATCTAATAAAACACTAAGACACTTAAGATCATCGAGTTTTCGGCCATTGTCCGTCCTATTATTGCCTACGCATCCATGGAAGTCAAAACAAGAAAAAGGACCCTTTATGCTGCACTAATGAAAAAGAATGAGGAACCTCCTACATAAAGCTACCTAACACACTTAAGGATCATCAAGTTTTCGGCCATTGTCCGTCCTATTTTTCCAGCAGTCGAGCATTCCAACGTCCTATTATTGCCTACGAATCCACGGAAGTCAAAACAAGAAAAAGGACCCTTTATGCTGCACTAATGAGAAAGAATGAGGAATCTCCTACTTAAAGCTACCTAAGTATATTTATATCAACTAACTTTTCTTTGAAAACAAGAAGGCTGAAACAAGTTGCTTAATTATGTATTCTTTAGTAACTTCCTCATTAAATTATGTCAAAAATTAACAAATTAATCGTCATACCATTCAATAGAATAATCTTCCAGATGCAGTTGTTCAATATACCTTTCATGGGAAAATGAATTCAGACCGCGAGGGGTGTATCAAAGACATAATTTATAAAAGAAATTTGTCCCTGGGGCTTAGCCTTTCGAATAAGGATTACAATACTTGTATGATCCCCCAAAAAAAAAAAAAAAAAAAAAAAATTTTAAAAAAGCAAAGCAAGAAAAAACAAGAATATATCTTGCCACAAATTAGAAAAAGATTTCAATTTAATGTTCAAAGTTATGTCCAAGTTGAAACACCTGGAGTAAAAATTTCGGACCCTTTTATTTATGTAATCTGTAGAACCAAGTTTCACACACAAGCCGAATTTAATTTTTTTTGATATTATGACACTTTTATTTATTTATATATATTTACTCTCCCTGTCCGTCCCCAACGACCAAAAATCCCAGGCAGGGCGGGGGACAGGAAGAGTGTCGCCCCCACACAAAAGCACAGATATGGAGAGAGAGAGCTACAAATGACTGACCATTTTTGCGAGTCTTGACACGAGCAGTAAAAGCACACCAGACTCTTCTAACAGGGAAAATCATTTTCCGCCACCACTCCATCACCTTAATCCTCACCTTCCTCCGCCGATTCCCTCCGCCGAGTCGACTCAATGCCACCCGTAACCCGGCCAGCCCTACTCTCTCTCCCTCCTCCCCGTCCTTCTCTCTCTCTCACGCACACAGAAGCTTTTAGAGAGATTTGTTAGTTCCTGGGAGTCTTGTGAGAGTTTCTCTTTGCTTTGTGTTATAGTGGGCACCTTTAACGGTTATTATGCCCCTTGGGCGTGGGCTCTGTTTTTTATTAAAAAAATAAATAAAAATTATTTGATGTAATTGCAGAAATACTCACTGATGTTCAAGTAAAATTTCAAATTGATCATTAAAGTATTTGAACGAGCTATTTAGTCACTGAGGATAAATAATATTACGTAATTGGTTACTATTGTACCAGTCCACTTCAAAACTATCAACGACATGTTAAACCATGATATCTATTAACGATTATTAAAAGAATAAACATCTTGTTTAACCAAAAAATCATAGATCGTTTCCTTTAACCCCACTTTATCTTTTTCATCAATAATAACTAACTAAAAAGACAAGACAGCTAAAACAGAAAGTCGACTTGAGGGACTCAATCGCTTTAGCAGTCATTACTCAATGGGAACGAAACTAGGGAAAAAAAATTTTTAAAAAAAATGCAAAGGCCCCCTCCCTATGTCCTTGTTTTTCAATGTAGTACAATGACAAAGATGGCAATGAGATGGGTTCTAGTAGGGGTGGGGATAGGGGCTAGATAATTTTTTGCCCTATACCCATCCCGTTACCCATTTAAGGTCAAGCCGGGCCAAGATTATGTACCTATTTAATTTTTTTGGTAATTTATTTTTATTGCCCTCATTCATTAAAATGAGACAATAATATAATTATTTAATTTTTTCAATTAATTTCTTTATTTTTAAAAGTTAAACTATTCATTTATATTTGGTAAACTAAGATTTGTATTGTTTATCATATGTTTTAGATAATCTTAGTTGTAATCTTCTATTAGAATTAATGAAATTTCATTGAGTTTTCCATTTAAAGATTAAACGGCCGCCCCATGCTCTCCTCGAGGCAAAATTTCCCTACCAAAATATCCGATTAAGCGAGTAATCCCTGCTCTGTTCGAGGCGGAGCCCTCGAGTATCATGTTTTACGGATTTTTTTTGCTATCCCTAAACAATGAATATGATCTTAATTAAGGCTAAAAGAATAATCAAATATGCAACATGTTAAACTTTATGATTAATTAATAATATAAATACTTGAATGACCAATTTAAAGTTTTGCTGGAACTTTCCTGACCATAGTGAAATTAGCCCTTAATTAGTTTCTTCACCGACACGTGACGTTTCAGGTATTTTAATGTTTTATTTTAGTTGGGAAATGAAATTTGAACACGTTTGTCTATGAGGATCTTTGATTATTATCTTGATTTTATTGTCCGTGTTGACTTTTACTTGTTTGATTAATGTGTCATAAGTGGAAAATGAGTAAACAGTCACTCACGATATTGTGTCACGAGTGGTTACGAGTAACTCTTCCATTATCCTAGTAAAGACATACTGATCGTTAAATTTGCTTAATTTAAAGGTCACAGTTATTTGTCAAATACATGTGTAGAAGGAACGCTCATATATATAATGCTTTTTATGTAATCTTTGTTGACATCTTCACACTTGACGAGTCAGATTCATCTATTTTTAATCAACGGATTGGATTTTAATAACACCAAGATTGTCAATAATGATTGTCAATATGGATTGTACAAATAGCTTAATTGAAAGAATATTTAACATTTCCAATATAAATATATGATAACAAATATATTTATTCTCAATTAATTTAGCTTAGAAAGCTTTTACTCAAATTATAATCTAATCAAAATTTATTTTTACAACATATTTTTTGAAAACACAACTCTATTCTCTTTTTAACCAATCTTTTTATGAGACTCAAAAACTTTCAATATCAAAGCTTTAATTTGACCTGAATTCACTCATCACTATGTAATATTCATGTAATGTAACAAATTTTAGGTAATCTTAACGTATCAAAATTTTCTTTCTAATTTTAGGAAGTTGTTGATGTATTGATTATTTAGGTTTCTTACCTAATTTTAGTCTTTCTAGAAACCCATCAACATAGTGAGTTTGACATTCTTATCGAGATATGCAAAATGATTGAATGTTTTAAAACTTGAAAATTAAAGATGTAGGTGCGGGTGAGTGTCGCTAGTGTAATGCTATTTATAATTGGATTATTCTTCTTGAATATAATGGATAAGAGCGCCACTTGAGCATTATGGACACCATTATGTTACTTTTTATAATTAGTGGCTTGATTAAACTAGTGCTCATCCCAAATTATGATAAACAACAATATTCATTACATTTAGGTATGACAAAAATATCCGTTAAATCCGATACCAGCGATTTAGCCCTGAATAGGGCAAAGATTACCCTTTTAATCCGTTAATTGTGTCGGATACGGGGCAGGAAATTTCGCCTCAAGGCGGGTACAGGTAACAGGGGCCCTACCCTATTTAATTTTTTCTAAAAATAAAATACTTTTAAATGAAAAAATTTCACAAGTTTCATTAATCTATAGAAAATGGCGACTAAAATTATCTAAAGAATATGATAAACAATAAAAACATTAATTCACAAAATATATTCGAATAATTTAACTTTTTAAAATAAATAAATTAATTAAAAAATTTAATAACTATATTATTGTCTCACTTGAATGAATGTAGACAATAAAATGAATTATAAAAAACTATTAAAAAATTAAAAGGGTGCGTAAACAGGACAACCGGACTGCACCGCCCCACCTCACCCCATCCCTTGCCACTTCAATATCCCAATCCGTTCACATTCCAAGAAACTTATTTATGCCCCGTTTGATTATCATTTTTCTCAAAATGTAATTTTCTCTCTTTTTTCGACCACACATTTTTCATTAAAATAATATTATGCGTAAATAAAAAAACTTTTCTTTATTCTTCATCCACACATTCTCCATCAATTTGCTATTCTAAAATTCATTTTTTTTTCATAAAAATGGATGGCAAATAGCCTCTTAATAAAGTTTCGATAAGTTAACGAACTCACGTGCTAGAGTTCACACTCGGCCACGAAACTTCAAGCACTCCACAATGTCTTCGAGCTTGAGCTTTAGTCATTACTTATTTATAATATTCTATTTCTTAAGAATGAACGAAAACGCTATTAATCACCAAAAGCCCACCTTTTATTATGTCACATGCTTATGATCCATGAATTATTTAGAAATTCCATGGAGGGACATAAGGACACCTAAAATACAAAAATATTTCAATCAATTAAATGAAGATGATTTTGATGTGCTTCAACTGTTAATGCATCATCATCTTGTACAAAACATGTGAACATTCCATTTATAATTGGGATATTGGCATAAATGGTCATAAACCTTTAAACATCTTGCGTATTTTATTCGATTTTTTTAGTCTTGGTGCAAATGATCACAAACCTTTACATTCTTGGCAAAGTTAGTCTCTTTGGACTGATTTCGTCTGAAAGGACCTCTAATTCCTAGTGTGAAATGCACTTTCGTTTAATGATGAATTGTATTTGTAGTCCCAACTTAAACAAAAGAAGAAATCATGTCCTTAAAAAAATAATAAATAAATAAATAAAAATAAAATCAAACGCATCATCTACTATACTTATCCCTTATGCACCCACCCACACATCCATCCCACCAAGACCACTACCACCATCTCCACCTTCACCACCACATTGTCACCACCTCCACCACCATGCTACCACTGCCACCACCTTCATCAAGAGGGATTTCTCGCACGGTTCACCAATAGACTATGGATGTTGATGGGCTGAGGGAGAATCCTGTAACGACCCATTTTTTCCTTTCTTTTAATTTAAGTTAGTACCCAATAGTTTTCTAAAAACATGGTCAATTTTTTATTTTTAATCACATATTTTATATGATTCAACAATTTTAATTACTAACTTGCACTTGTCTTGAAATCCAATTTACTAGAAGTAGATAATTGTATTTTAATGTGTCCAACAGCTAACTAAACAATAAATTTTAAAAAAAAAATGGGTAGAAGACATTTACACCACTACATGAAATAATTTAATTCAACTTTTTAATTAAAAATGCAATCTAAACATATCCATGACAAATAAACATGTACGAGAATTTAACTTTACATAAATGTTTATTGTAATTAAACAAAAACAAAACAAGTTACGTGCTTAAGTTCTAGATTTTTGTTCCATGAAACGAGGCACAATCATACCATCGAACCATCGCACTCCAACACTAACCATACTAACCTGTAAAGTAGGGGAAAAGAGATGAGTATGGGGAATAATCAGTAGGATACGAATATTAGTACAATCCTGAAAAATATTTATCATTTATATATCAAAATAAATCGTACCGTCATATCATAGCATATCATTTGTACTAGATGGCCATATATGTCATATCATACCATATCATTAACAAAATATTTATCAATGTGAAATAACAAAAATTAAAAGGGACATGTTGCATAATTTAATGCTTTAAATTACTGGATCTTTCATGTTAAATCATCAAGAAAATAAGAATTAAAGCGGAAGCATACCTGAATCTGATATGGTTAATGCAATATGAATTTCGCGGTATGATCTTCCAAATCTACACGCAGTCTCCTTTTCCTCTCTGTGATGGGATGCAGTAGAGAATGAATAATTTGTTGCGTGTGATCTGGGGACCATAACCTATTTTTATAGGGATGCCCTTTGACCTAATTCGGCCCATCATAGAATTAGGACTTGGGCCCGATCTCTACACATATGTAAACCCATACTTTAATTGGATACATTAAAGTCCAAAATCGAAACCTTATTAGATCACTTTAATTGGACTCAACCGAATTCGATAGCCTATAATTTAACACACAATTATTCACACATACAAGTCCATCTTTAATTAAAAATTCTTACAATCTCCCACTTGGGCTATATGTGTCACCTTATAATTGTGCATTAAACATAACCTTATGAGTACTTAGAATTTTGCTATCATTACCGAATGTATGCCCAAACAATCCCGTCCATCAATCATATCAACATAGGATCAAAGCGGCTTTTGCTACTTTCACGTAGCTAAACCCATCAATGGTCACGTATATCAATATAATCGAATG